TCAGGCACCAACTCAGGCTGGTCTTACCTTCAGGCCTGCCCAGTTTTGACGGAGCCCACGTCCCCTGCCCGGGCTGGAATTCATTGGTGGAGCGATTTTTTCAACCCAATGGACCTTTTGCCATGATAAAACCCCATAGGTGAAAATGCTCTTATGTAAACCAAAACTAATTAGTCAAGATTTTTGTGAGTATAGGCAAGGATGGGTTACCGTGTCCACCCTGTCATTAGTTTTGGACTAGCTATATCAATTTCATCAGTTAAATTCAAACAGAGAATTCAAAATTTGCATTCAAATCTATGAATAAATGCAAGACTAACTTTAACTAAGGTGTAGAGTCTTCTCCAGTCTAAATGAGAAATTATAGAATAGAATGGATACACCACGTCAAAATGTGTATCTTCTACTCAATATAGTTAAATTCTTAAGCTTTCACAGCTGAACTCCACTTTATTTCCTTATTTGAAATTATATTAGAAAAATAAAATTAAAAAACTTTAAAAGAAAAGATAGTATAAAATTACCACGATTAGACTACGTAATTGGAGTGGGACAAATGAGGTGTTTGCTAGATTGGCCCAGGCCATTGGTGTGCTCGCAAGTCCTACATTCAAGTTTCTCTCTCTCCTTTATAACTTTGGCAGACAAGAAAGAAAAAAAGAAGAAGAGTAATTAAATTCGTGTTTTTTCTTTGATTTTAGTTTTTTTAATTTTTATTCAAAATTAAGACTGTTAACTTTAGGGTTAAGTAGTGCAAGTTCTATTCCTACTGTATGCATCACCACTGATAAACACCAGAACAAGCTATATTCACTGGCCAATAGCGCACGCCAGCAATAAAAGCTTCTACAGCTGGTTGACCAATGTAAAGAATAAGGCCCATGCATCAAAATTTCCTCGCCAAGCTACATGAAGCAGATTTTAAGAAATTTCGGGGTGAAAACAAAAACGATGTGATGTTGAACGCCTCCCAATAGATAATATCAAATTAGAAATACCTTTTATTTCATACTACTATTTCCATACATAATTTAAGAGTTTAAAAAATATTTTTATATTGCGAAGTAATTTTTTTCTTGTGAAGCACCCATTTTGGTACTAAGGGTGAGTTGACATAGCCCACAGTGGAAGAGCCACCCAACAAAGGGTATGAAAAAATCATGCAAGCAACCAATGGTTTCGATCATATTCTCTAAGCAATCATCAAAGCAACCAATTTCTAAAATGATTCAGACTATTAATCCCCTCAATCTCTAAGTCATCTCGAAACTCCCAATCCAAGTTTTCTAAACCAGGTCCAGCTAAACCCAAAACACAACAACATAAATTAGAGAGAAGCTGATTTTTTGGGAGCAGTTTAGCCACTTCCTGAGCAAGTACCAGAGGAAGTACACGCATGCACAGTTGACAGGACCCGTCCCGAATTTCCCGGAACCCGAGACGAACCCTGCGGAGACCCCGGCATCACACCCACGCCGGGTTTACTCCTTAAATCTACGTCCTCGTTTACCCTAGAGGATTAAGGGCACGAAACTTTCTGCCGAAATTTCGGCAGAGTCTCCCCTGTAAATTGAACATTTCCCCAAAATTCCCACCTGCATAAAACACATTTTATAACCCAACCGGCAGCATGCACAATATAATCTCAAGCACTTACATAATTGGCCTCCGGCCTTCAAATGATTCTAGCAAAACTGCCCACAAAGTTTTTAAAATAACTTAATGCATCAAACATGCATATAACAAATTCAAAATCTAATTATGCACACCTTCACTCACTCAGTCTCCAAGACCAATCTCAATTCAACCAAGTTTCAGGACCAACAACAAGGTCCGAACCAATCTCAATAAGACCACCTAAGTGGGGTCTAATCTGTGGCTGCACCTAGTAACTTCAGGCTGCCTACGTA